AATATATTATAGTATACCATATTTGTGGAGTATTTATTATTTGGGGGGTGGGGGGGTTTATTATTAGGGGGAGGGGATTACCTCTCTGGGGAACCCAGGGTTTTGATTTTTACATCTTGAACGAAACACGAAACCCTTATCGAACAAGTCGGCGAGCCTGCACCAGGCCTTATGCAAAGCAGCTTCCAATGACGGGTCCTTCACCTTGTGCAGCTTGGAATTGGTTCATAGGAGCCCTTGGTCAGGGAAAATCTCCAAGCATGAAGTTTGGCAATCCCAACCCCTGTAATGAGATCCATGTAGCAATTATACGCTACTCTTGTGGTCCTTACTTTGTGCGGTTGAGTACAGGGAGTTCACGGAGCCCCGTTCTGGACCCTTTGGCTTCAGGGCGCCCTCACCGAGTTGCTGAGTTCTTCGGCCCAAACACAACGTCACGTACCCTGCCAGTACCATTTAACAACAATGTATAAGGATAGATACACCCCAACAATGTAAAAAAGAGTTACATCATCAGCTTTAGCACAATCATTTCAGGGCATTAGTGGTAACCCTCACAAACTCTCTGGCGGCCGCGGCTCAGGCACTCTGACTTGAAACCCTCTTGCCAGTGAACTCATAAACAGCTCGAGGGTTTTTTGGCTTGAGGACCCAAGATGTGCCAGGGTGTAACGTACTAGATTCCTGTATTTTCTTTACAGCACCACCTTAAGCACTACTTAACTCTTCACCTAAACTTTGCTGCTAGGCCGTTGCTTCCACATAGCCTATATACTTAGATTCCTAGCTAAAGCTGCTGCATACCGACCCTCTTACCTGAGCTGGAGCTTGCGGTGGCCCCCCGCCTGAGGATGCACAAGGAAAACACGAGGAGTATAACAGGGTCCTTGTCAGGGTTGGGCCGACAAGTTGAGAGATTCCAGGTCCCAAATGAGAAGTGCAAAAAGCAATTTCTGAATCCTCCACGTCAAAACCTTGTGCCTGAATCGTTTTTTTGGTGCTGTTGAACCACCAATTACTCTACACAAGACCCCACCAGGGTCCTAGTATGGTCATGATGGTTATTCTGGTAGGTACTGTATTGAATGGCGTGCGGCCCCCACCTTTGAGCTACTAGACGCCCCTCCAGAGGTGGAAAGCCTGCAGCGCAACATTTTTGAGCCGCAGCATGCAGCAGATGTTGACTTTCAGGTCCACTCGGTGCACTTACCGGCACGCTTGCTGCATTCCATCTGCAACTCTGCAACCCTGCTGTGGGCTCCCTATACTTAAGACTTCTTTTTGGACCTTCTTCCCTGCTCATATGGCCAAGCTCTAAACCCAAGACCCTAAAACGCGTACGCTCATCCTTGCGCCCTTATAAGTCAGATCCCAACGTCTCAACGCAATTCCTGGGGATTCAGTAGCTCGAACGCAGTCACCGCATCCTCAAGCTTCTCTTCACTGCCGAAGAGGTTCCTTTGAAACGCCCCATTTGGGTAGTGTCTTTTTTTTGGTGGTTCAACCCAGTAAGATTGTATTCCCTGTATAAAGTACTATACCACAAAAGGAGGATATAATCTTACTCTAGAATGGGTACCATAATATCCCCAAATAAAATACTACTCACTTTGTATCTGGGTGGAATACCCAGTATGGGACCCTTTATTGTAAATCCACATTCTGCTAACCTTGTATCTGAACTTAAGGTCCTTAACAGCAACCCAGCTTTTTGGACTTGTTTGGGTCAGGGGGACTTTGGGATGTATTTAGGAGTGGAAGCTCGGGGATTAGGAGGGCTTAGTGTTCAAGGGTTGTTTAGGCCTTGGGGTTTGGGTTGAAGAGGTGGGATTTAGGGTTTAGCGTTCGGGCTTAGGGGTAAGGGTTGGGGTGTAGAATAGGGTTAGGGGCCCTACCGGTAACCCCAAGTACCTACAGTTCAGTAGTAATTTCTGGTTCTAAGCCATAGACCTGTAGCTAATTGGGGTTACAGGTAGACGATTTTGCGCCTTGCATGCATTGCAGGTACGTAAGGCGGCCGTCACGTGCATTTCGGTCTGTGTTGTGTGATGTTCTCAAACCTTACCTACACCTCTACACCCTACCCTTCTTTTGGGATACCTAATTTTGCAAATAATACAGCAGATGCTAGAACCCCGAACCCTAAACCCTTAAGCCGCAGACCCTTATACTGCCCCAAGCCCCTGAGCCCTAAACTGGGTATGGGGGTCTGGCAACCCCTAGACCGCATGGAGCTCATAAATATGATCCAGGCAAGGTTCACCGACTGCTGCTTGAAGAGCTCCTTTTTGGGCTCCACACAGTTGCTAGGGCAGGTTTGGGGCCCTATAAGCGCCATTAGTATTCTGGATATTTTAACCGTATTGTGTGACCTATGGTCTCAACTCATAGTATCCGTCTTAATAAGCCCTACAATAGTCTCGTACATAGTCCCCTCTACAACCCCACTTCAAGAAAATTTCGACTCCAGCTCTGTCATGGAGGGACTGTATAAGCGTGACGGAAAGTAGGTTCAAGCCTTCCCCTAGTTCGGTGCACAGGGTGTACCTTAATGTAGACCCATGATTGATAACCCCCCTCCTTTTACGGGCCTAAATGTTAGAATCCCTATTATAATCCCTATTAAGGGGCAGGTGTTTATTAATCAGGGGTCTGGTTTACCCTCCAGCGAATAAACATGGAACTCCATATAGCCTGCGCAAGGACAATGGTCTTTATGGGGCCCCTTTTTGGGGCTCCGCGTGAACAGGGGGAAGGGTAGGGTGCTCGGGGCTTAAGGTTTTAAAGGGCTCCTTCTGATCCCTTTAGGGTTCAGGGCTTAGTGGAGGACGGCCAATACTTTCATCAAACCTGCGGCCAGGCTTGACAAGTTGTCGCTGAATATTTGATTAGTCAGGGTTTCAGGCTTGTGGCTTGTACTCCTGAAGTTGTACCCCTGGGTGTTAGGATCCTTTTAAGGGACTCAAAGGGACTAAATTCGCTCACATAAAGGCTATTTCTGGGCTTTTTTGGGAAAGCTTTCAGGGGTACGACCTCAGGCGTACAACCCAGGAACCCTTTAGATTCCCACAACCCGTACAAGTACCTAAACCCTAAACCCTAGGCAATGACCCCTGAACCCGAAACCCCAAAACTGATCTGTCGCAAGTTTTGTGCCAGGTGTTCGGGTGTCTAAGTTGCTAAACCCTACACCCCGAACCCCTCTTTGCCAGAGGTTCGAGCCCTACTCTCTGGTAAATGTTCCCCTAAAGCCTAAACGCTAGACGCTAAACCTGAGACCCTGGACCGTTTGGCATAAGCCCTTCCTGAGCCAAGGCGTAGATGGGAGCACTCTTCTGAGCAATGAAGGTGGCTAGGGCCAACCTTGACTGTCACGTTTTACCTAGACTTATAGAATGGAAGGAATAGGATTTAGGGTTAAGGGTTCAGGGAAAGGACCCCTCTTCCAGGATACCTAACTTTACGTTTAGTATGTCCTAGATATAAAAGCTGGGTACCCTCGAAAAGGGGGTAGGGCATGGAGGTCTAGGTAGGCTAGATATCAAAGCTGGGTACCCTCAAAAAGGGGGTAGGGCATGTTTAGGGATGTTCTGGAGTCGAGGCCTACGGGCTTCTACAACCATAAGGGTCCCAGTACCCGAGTAACGCGGTATCAAAGAATCATGCTACATGCGGTCTTTGGGCTTAATTCCTTGCTGTTCGCGCCCCGTGCGGAAACAAACACCAGGGCCTGCTATTGTTGAACTTCTAGGTCTAGGTTCTCCAGTAACCCCTTAATAATAAGGGTACCCTTTTCCTACTATTCAGCTTTAATAAGGAGACCCCAAAATAAAAAGAGGGAAAGGGTACTACTGGGATACCTAGACTTGGAGCCTTGCTCTTAGAGCAATCCAATCAACCTCCTAAACCCTAAACCCTAAATCAACTTCCTTTCTTGCAAATTACCCAAGGCTTGGAGCTTCCGAATCGGCTGGGCCTCAACTAAATTTGACTTTAAAGTTGCGTAAAACTTATACCCAACCCTAAACCCTACCCAAGGGCTCCTATGTAGTTCTTGTTGGGGGTTGTTCTGGTTTTTTGGTAAGGAATTACAATACAGTACCCAAAAAGGGAACTAAATAGGAGGGTCTGGGGTAAACCCTAACGCCCCCAAAACCCAAACTGCGGTTGGGTCTGCAATTCCGATCTTACAGGCCAGCTGGTGTAAGTGTGCCTGCAATCAAGGGTGCCAGTTTGTCGGGCGAAGAGGTTAATATCAGCAATAGCGATAGGCTGTGAATAGGTGGAGAAAAACCAACTGGATGTCTTAATGCCTGGATACAAGCCCACGTTTTCGACTCATGCAGAGGCCGTTGGTGTTACGCACTAAGACAACCCACATATTCGCAGTCATTTTCTGCAATTCTGGGAGTACCTTCACATGCCATGTGTTGAAGTTTACAACGTCGGTAACTGTGTAAGGCAAGAACCAGTGCGCAAAAATCCTCATGGAATGCCCTCGGTCTCCATTTAGCTTCTTTGGCCCTTAACCAATACTGTACCCGAAGCAGCTTTCAATAAGAAAAGATCTATCAAAAGCTAGCTGCTGGATTGTGAGAAGAAAAGAATGCTGACAACAGGTAAAGCATGAGCCATTATACTGAGGCATAATTATCATGTCCCCGCTTCTTAATTCCACACAACCCTAAAACTGTAAACCCTAAAACCCTAAACCCTATACCCTAACACAATTCAGACTCGAGTTGCTCCTCGTCCGTCCAATCCAGCTTGTTATCCTAAGCTGGCTTGGCAAGACAGAAATTCCCGGTTTAGGGGGCAACGCAGCTCCCCCAAAGCCTGAAAAGGGATGTTTTTGAGTAGTCACATTCTCATGTTTCAACTTCCACTGCCTTACCCTTACAGACTGACAATGAAAAGCACGCCGAGTCAGCAGTCTGACTTTGGTATGTACCTCGACTACTAACTAGAATCGTGACAAACCTGCTCGTGGGGGAGGTGCGTGAAATATACTACAGGGGCCTAAATGATTACCAATAATGTTAGCTCCCGATTAGTGTGGGGTTCCCTAATTGTGCGAAGTTTCGCCGCCGTTATTCAGCACCCCCAAGTTCGTTTGGGGTCCCCTAATTGTGC